GCCTCTTCCAAACCTACCCTGCAGATGATACTTCAAGATGTTCTCTTGACAGAGAAGAGGAATAGCGCCTACCAAAACCAAAGGCAAACGGGAAGAACATCCTAGTAAAATGACAACAGAAGACTAAACCAACGACTAACCCATTCCTAAAATAACAGGACCAAAATATCATCCATATATATTAACCCTGAAGTAAATGGCTTAAGCTCAATCAAACGTCATAGATTAGTACACTGGATTAAAAAACAAAACCCATCTGTTAATTCTCTAGAAGAGAGACACTTCACCAACAAAAATCAGCGGAAACTATATCTCATGGGTTTTGTTGTTTTCTGTTAGTTTCATCTCTTCAAAACACTTCTGATTAAATCATTCAATGACTCATAGATCATACAGTAGCATCATTTTCTTCAAGAAGGTTCTTGATTTTCATTTCTTCAGCTACATGTTAGTCATTTAGTAGCATGTTAGTTAACTTCATGGTATTGTTAATTTCTTTTTTCTCCCTGATGTTGATTTTGTTTTGTGGCTTTTCATTTAAGGGGATGTATAGTAGCTGTGTAATGGAAACTGTCATATCTAGTAAGATGTCATTTAACTTCATGGCATTGTAAATTTCTATTTTTCTTTCTATTATTGATTTTGTATGACTTTTCATTTGAGGGGATGTATAGTAGCTGTGAAATGGAGACTAATATCCAGATGTGAGGATACAATGTAGTATGCATTTGTACTTCCAGACAAAAATGGACTTAGAGTGAAACTGTTCACCATATCTTGTCAATAGGATTCTGGACTCTCTGCCATTGTCCATGCCTGCAATGATGGACATATAACGGTGTATGAAGAACTATATGTTGGTAATGCTATAGAGGAACTAGGTCGGGGGGGAGGGAACTGGGGAGGGAATAAGGGAAATTCCAGGAGCCTATGGAATTGTATCATAAAATGATAACAATAATAAAATGTTAAAAAATGAGAAGATCCTCTCTGTCTCTTCTCTCTGTATATCTGTCTTTCCAAGAAAAACAAATCTTAAAAATATTTTTATAAGTGAGATCCATATTTTTTCTGTATAACTTTCATTCTTACTGTGGATGTTTTGCATGCCAAGTAGTCTTTGCCTGCGCCAATGTCTTGCAGTTTCCCTGCTTTTTCCTGTACCGATTTGATGGTCTCAGGATGTAGATTTAGACCCTTGCTCTATTTGAGTTGTGTAGGGTGTGTGATAACACTCCTGTTTCATACCTCTGCACAGATCCAGTTTTCCCGGTCCCTTTTATTGGTGAGAATATCCTTTCTTCAGGGATTGATTTCAGCTTGCTTGTCAAGTATTAGTTGGTTGTAGTTGCCTCGGTTATCATTTGGGGTTTCTCTTCTGTTCCACTGGTCCATATGTCTATTTTTGTTCCAGTACCTAACTGTTTTGGTCATTGCCCTGTGGTTTGTGTTGAAGTCTGGTATTGGTGACGATTGTAGCTATATTTTTGTTGTTAAGATTGCTTGAGGGTTTTGGGGTCTCTCTCTTTCCATGAATTTTAGCATCATTTTGTTTTTCCATATCTGAGAAGAATGTTGGTATTTTGGTTGGGATCACGTTGGATTTGTAATTTATTTTTTGTAGTATGGACATTTTGATGATATTCTTTCAATCCACAATCATGGAAGATTTTTTTGTAATGTTGTATTATGTTTCTGTAATGTTTTGTTATTTTCATTGTATAAACATATTTTTTAAAGATTTACTTTATTGGAAGGTCAGAGTTACAGAGAGGAGGAGAGACAGACAGAAAAAGATCTTTGTTTTGCTGATTCATTCTGTTAGTGCCCGCAATGACCGGAGCTGTGCTGATCTGAAACCAGGAGCCTGGAGCCTCCTCCAGGGCTGCCATGTGGGTGCAGGGTTCAAAGGCTTTGGCTTGTCCTTGACTGCTTTCCCAGGCCACAAGGAGGGAGGTAGATGCTAAGTGGGGCTGTAGGTATTAAAACTGTTGTCCAGGCCCGGCGAGGTGGCGCAAGTGGTTAAGTCCTTGCCTTGCACGCCCGGGATCCCATATGGGCGCCAGTTCTATCCCGGCAGCACCGCTTCCCTTCCAGCTCCCTGCCTGTGGCCCAGGAAAGCAGTCGAGGACGGCCCAAGGCTTTGGGACCCTGCACCCTTGTGGGAGACCCGGAAGAGTCCGGATCAGCATAGCATCGGCTGTTGAGCTCACTTGGGGAGTGAATCATCGGACGGAAGATCTTCCTCTCTGTATATCCGCCTTTCCAATAAAAAAATAATAAAAATAAATCTTTAAAAAAAAAAACTGTTGTCCATATGGGATCCTGGAGCATGTACAAGGCGAGGACTTTAGCTGCTATCCTACCACACCGAACCCATTGTATAAATCTTTAACCAAGTGTTGTTAAGTTTATTCCAGGGTGTTTGATTATTTGTAGTTGCTGTGAATGGCAGTCAGAAGTTCCTTCTTAGCCCCAACATTGTGTATCCTGTGGGTATATCTGTGGCTACTGATTTTATTTTTCATTGGTTTTATATCCCACAACTTTACCAAACTCTTACTCATTTTAGTAGTCTCTTAATGGAGTCTTGATTTCCGTATGTATAGAATCATATCATTTGCAAATAGCAGTAATTTGTCTTCCTTGTTTTCAGTATGTATCTCCTGGGAAATGCAAATATAAACCACAGTGAGGTTTTGGTTCACCCCACTTAGAATGACTGTCATCCTGAAATCACAGAACAGTAAATGCTGGTGGGTAGTGGGGCAAAATATAGCCTAGTTAATGTTGGTGGAAATGTGAGCTAAATGAGGATGGAATACAATATGAGGCCTGGTGCAATGGCTCGATTGACTAATTCTACTTCAAAAGCCACTATCCCATAAGGGTACTGCTTCACATCCCAGCCAGCTCCCTGCTCGTGGCCTGGGAAAACAGGAGGACAGCCCGAAGTCTTGGGACCCTGCACCTGCATGGGAGGCTGTGAAAGAAGCTCCTGTCTCCTTGCTTTGAATTGGCTCAGCTCTAGCCACTGGGGCCTCTTGGGGAATTAACAAGCAGATGGAAGATCTTTCTCTCTTCTCTCTGTAAATCTTCTTTTCCAATAAAAATTTTTAACAAGTCAATTCAGAGATTCCTTATAGATCTGAAAATAAGTCTATCATATGTCTCAGCCATTCCACTCTAGTTAATTTACTGAAATAGTGAGAAATCAACATGTTAAGAGAGTTATTTGTTCCCCCATGTTTATTGTAGCCTAACACAGTAAGATATAGAATCAACCTAGCTGTCCTTCAGTGGATGACTAGATAAAGAAAATGTGGCACCGATAAACTATACAATATTACTCAGCCGTGAAGAACACTGAAACTCTTACCTTTTGGAACAACATGCAACTGGAAATTATTAAGCTACGTGAAATTAGCTGGTTTCGAAAACGTAAATGTCTGTCCTGGTCTCAGAAAGATAAATATCACCTTTTCTTTGATGTGCAGCAAGGAAATGTTGACTTTTGAGATACTCTTGTTGTTTCTAGCCTGTATTTATTGTCCTGTAGAACTGTGGTCTTTCTGAATTTTACTTGTTGAGTGTTAAGAGTAGTGGCAAATAAAGCCACAGATACAGAGTAGACTAATATTATGTCTATAAAAAGTCATGAAGAGTGAGGCGGGAGGAAGGTAGAACAGAGGAAGTGAGGAAAAGACTGGAATGCACAAAATCTTTTCTTTATATTATTAAAAATGGAAAATTTTGCCATATCATTGTTAATCCTTCTAAGGTATATTATTCTAATGACATTTCCTTAATTTTTAAACTAGTAATGTTTGTTTTTAGAGCAGTTTTAAATTTGTCAAGGTTGAACAGAAATCTTTAGTATGAAATTTGTCATTTAAGAATGAGAAATGCTCGTTTCCTATAATTGTGTTTCTGTCGATTTCTTCTTCTTGTTTTTTTTAAATGCTCTTTCTGGAGCTGGCATTGTGGTGTGTTGGGTTAAGCTGCTGGGAATGCAGTTCTAGTGTCCCCTGTGCTGACTTGTTCAAGTCCTGCTGCTTCACTGTCTGTTAATGTGCCTGGGAAAGCAGTAGATGATGGGCCAAATCGTGGCACCGACGGAAGCACATGGGAGGCCTGCATGAAGCTCTTCTTACCCATGGCACGCCATGGTAGCTATCTGGGGAGTAACGAGTAGATGATTCTCTTTCTTTCAAATGCATCAAATAAACATTAAAAAATACTCTTTCTTAAGGTACAGAGTTTAATATATGCTTAGTTGTAAGTACCATAAAGTTTTAAATGATCTTTGTTATTTACTGCATTTTGCTCTTCTTCCTGAAGTTAACCTTGTTAGCTCTCATTTTTTTCATTTATATGTTCCTAATGAATATTTTGTCTATTCTTTCGTTTTACCTTTCTGTCACCATATTTTATCTTTTAAATTATGTATATTTATTTAACTTATTCAATATTTTTAATCCTTATTTGGGAGGCTTCTTTTGCTTCGGGATATCTGAATTCATTTATGTTTATCTTAACCAATATCTGTAACTATATTAACTGAATTTCTGTAATATTTGCGAGAGAAAAAGCAAGTGAGCTCCCATCTTTTGACTCCCAACATACTTAGAGTGGCCAAGGGATGAAACTGGCTGGTTGGAACCCCATCCGGATCTGCCATGTGGGTGGCAGGAGCCTGATTACTTTAGATCCCATTGCTGCGTCCCGCAGTGTGCCCCAGCGGGAAGCTGGCATCAAGGGCCAGTGCTTGGGGTCAAACCCAGGCCCTGCTTCTGACTTGGGACACAGGCTTCCTAACTGGCATCTAATTGCCATGTTCACTATAACAAAATCTCCATCCCTCCACTTTTTTTATTTTGGTAACAAATGTTTTATTAAAGGTAATCATAATCCAAACCTCTTCAGTAGTCCCATCCCTACACGTGTTAGGGATATGTGTGTGTATGTGTGTGCACAAACATTTCTTTTTGATTTTTCAGCACGTGAGACAGCCTTCTCCTGTTGTTCCGGCTCTTCAGCACAAAATTGCAAGCAAACTGCAAAGGCCTCCTTCAGTCGACAGCATCATAAATTCCTTTATTCATGTAGGTGCTTTTTATTTTGCTAATCTTACTTCAATTAATTTAGATTGGGGGCACAAAATTAAATTTTGTTTTGATATTTGAATAGGTTAAATGGTTTTAGATTAGAAATATAGGTGACGTCTATTAATTTGTTGTTTCAAGTGTAACCAATAGGTCTTGGTACCCAAAGTTTGGCAGCCTGTAACTTAACTTTTATTAGGTAGAAAGATATTTTATAGTTGGTTTTAGTTATGCTCATGAAGTCTTTTATCCTTTAGATTAAGTTGTAATTCAGAGAGTGCGGGACCTTTTCTAGTGCATTGAGTGCATACTTGAAGAAAAATGAATAGAAATTTTCCGTAGTGATAGGAGGGCTAAGAATTTCCAGGATATCCAAAGACGTGGAAGACAGTGTAAATCACAAGGTATGCATGCTGAATCTTCTGTGGTTTGCCCAGGCCCAGTGATACCAAGGCAGCAGAAGAGGCAAAGGCCAGGAAATACAGGGAATGCTGTAAGGATTAATGAAGATTTTATTTCACAGGATGCTGGGTTCCTGATAAGTTGATTACCTAAAATGCTAGAGAAATATGGATGAAAAACATTTTCCTGAATCCCACCCTCTGAGATTCTGGTTGATTAGACCTTCGATAGATAATGTATGAGAACTCGTTGTAATGGAGTAGAACAATGACATGGCCATTTTGTCCTGTGTAATGTTCTCTCAGGCAATGGTGTAGAGACATGTTTTGAAGATAAGGCCAAATACTTTACATTTAAGATAGGTGTTAAATCTGGAGGTAGTGTGTTGTACTATTGCAGAAGTCCAGTGTTTGGCTATTCAAAGAAAGAAAACAGCAAAAGCCGAGAAAGCAGCTTTGAAGAATTTCAGAGACCCAGGCGATGAAAATGTTGATTTAATATGTGGTAGGTAAGAGTCAGTGATAGATTTCAGTATTCTGGGATGGTTCAGTAGGCTGGGAGGTTGAAAATAGGAGTTGTGGCCAAGGGAATAGTTGTGAACTGGATTTGTGGTTCTGGAAGCTTTTAGCATTTTGGTACTTATCCTTATTCATAAGTTTAAGGGATTAGTGTTCACCAAAGTACTGGAGTTGTGTAGCAGAGTATAGAGGGAGAAATGAAAGGACTTTTAGCTGGCAATTGAGAAGCAGGGAAGCAGTAGAGACAGGGAAGGTAAGCGAAGGAGGCAGTGATGTTGGTTCCTCCTGTCCAAATGCAGTAGCTTAAAATATGCATACAACATTTCAGTTGGGGATCACTTTGTGTCTAGTGAGGGTAATTTTGCTGCGATGATGAATTGTAAAGGTCAAGGCAGTAGCTATGTGTCAGATGAATGGGAATAAAGGAAGTAGCCATCAGAAGTATGCACTTACTGTTCTTAAAGATGCTTGGTGGTGGAGGAGAGGAGAGAATGGACAGTAAGTAGTAAGACAGTTGAAGTAGGGGAGGTTTTTACAGATAGTGTGAGAGAGTTTTGGAGAGAGGAAGCGATTAGAGAAGAGGTTACAGGTGAAACTGCAGTCGAGGTGATATAATTATCGGTGTTCTATAGGTAAAATAGTGTGGAATTTGGTTTGCTTTACATCTAGGTACTTAAAAATGTTTCTCTCATGTTGTAAGCATGGAAAATGTACTAACTGCATCTCTCTTTTCTGTTCAACAGGAAAGTTCTGTGTCTAGGCCACAGTCTCCTCCAGTACCTGCTAGGAAAAATCAGCTTCGTGCAGAAGGTAAGAGTTATCTTGGAAACTGTCTAGAGAGTACTTTAAAAAATTTTAAATGTGAAGTAATTAGAGACTCACAGAAAGTTTCAAAAATAGTATTTGTATAGCAAGTTGCTTTTATTCCCTCCTCTGTCTTTCATCACTGGCAATTCTTTATGTAGTGCAGTAGGAAAGCCAGGAAGTTGAAATTGGTGTGCCCTAAAACCTTGTTCAGATCTCACCAGTTTTTATGTGCATTCTGTAGATTTTTGTACATTTTTATCACTTATAGTTTGTGATCAAGCTATAGAAGTGTTCTAATACTACCAAGAAATTCCTTTATCCTTCCTTTTATTAGTTTTATTCCTAAGAATATCCCAAACTTTTGAAATTTCTAATTTATCACAGATGTGTTGCTCTTAATATTAACAAAAGTTAGTACATGTTTTTGTATGAAACACAAAAAGCCTGTCAGTCTAAGCTAATGTCATTTATTTAAGCTTTATGATAAATCAGTCTGTTCTAGTGTATAGTTTTTTGATCTTTACGTGTTTTTTTATTTATCAATGAAAATTTGCAGAGGAGAGAAAAAATGTAATTCTGGAATTATCGGAAATGAGAAAACAGCTTCGCAGTGAAGAGAGGCGACTACAAGGGCAGCTGCTACATATGGATGATGAAGTTCACATAAGGCAAGTTTAGAAGTTCTTTGGTTGTTTCATCACCCATCCAGGAATTTTGTGCTTTTGGACAGGATTACTTGTTATTGATAGTCTCCTTTTCTTACTCTGTGATGAAACCAGGTAGGCAGTCTTGTTGGGTTGTAAAATCAGTGTCTAGCTAACCACTACCTGTTTGTTCTTCCTTAAGATAAGACCGGACCCACCCAGCTTGGTTTTACTCTAAGGACTCTTGCTGTAACTCCCCTAAGTCCCTAGTAGAAAGCTTCCTTGATTTTATTTATTTTTTAAAGATTTTTAAAAATTGGAAATGCACAGTGGCACAGGCATAGGGTTAGGGGGAAAAGGTAAAGACGGAGGGAGAGAGGTCTCCCATTTGCTGATTTACTTGTCAAATGACTGCAATAGCTGAGCGTGGGCCATACCAAAGCCAAGAGTCAGGAACTCCATCTGGGACTCCCACACGGTGGTAGGGCCATCATCTGTTACCTTCCCAGGTATGTTAGCAGGGAGCTGGAATGGAAATGGAGCAACTGCTACTCCATCTGACACTCGAAGAGATACTGGCATTACAAGCAGTGACTTAACGTCCAGTACCACAACACCAACACCAAAAAATTCCTTTATTTTTTTTTAAAGATTTATTATTATTATTTTTATTGGAAAGGCGGATATACAGAGAGGAGAGACAGAGAGGAAGGTCTTCAGTCTGATGATTCACTCCCCAAATGAGCTCAATGCCGATGCTATGCCAATCCGAAGCCAGGAGCCTCTTCCGGGTCTCCCACACGGGTGCAGGGTCCCAAAGCCTTGGGCCATCCTCAACTGCTTTCCTGGGCCACAGGCTGGGAGCTGGATAGGAAGCGGGGCTGCCGGGATAGAACTGGCGCCCATATGGGATCCCGGGCGTGCAAGGCGAGGACCTTAACCACTTGCGCCACCGCGCCGGGCCCAAAAAATTCCTTTATTAAGCTGTCTTTTCACTGTGTTAATTTTGTAGGAACTAAAGGAATATTGTGGTGAAGGATGTCAAATTCTTTTCACTGTGAATTAAGTGTAAACTGAACGTTTTCTTCCTGCAAGAAAGCATATTTCTCATGATTTGTCATTTGTCTACAGGAAGAGGGAAAGGAATCCTATGGATATATTTGACATGGCTAGACATCGATTGCAAGCTCCTGTTAGAAGACAGTCACCTAAAAACTTAGATGTTAACACTTTGCAGAATATTCATGATTTTAATGAGCTGAAAGATAGAGGTATGTCATACATCATGTACAAAACAGATGGCTTTTGTCCTTTTCCAAAAGTAAATTTTCATTTATGATGTGTACTTTAAGCACAGTGAATTAAACTTCTGTGTACTGCTGTTCTTTAACTCACCAGGAGAGGTAAATATTTTCTTTTGGAGCATGTTCACCTTCTAAGCCTCAGGGTAGCTGAGATCATAAGGATTAGCATGTGGCATGGAGCATGGCCTTAACTGACGAAATGGCGGGGGGGGGGAGGAATGGGCTTATGAAGGAGACTGGAGAAGACAAACCAAAAAACTTTAGGAAATGTAAGTGAATATGGGATCCTGAAAGCTGAGGGGATAGAGTGAGTGTGTTAGGGAGAATATGAATATTCTGGGATGAACATGAAGAAATGTCACGTGGATCAGAGATGCTGGTGACTTCAACTGAAAAAATATTTATTTATTTGAAAGAATAATAAAGGCAGAGAGAAAGAGATCTTCCATCCATGTATGTTCCCTTAAGTGGCTGCAACAGCCAGGGCTGGGCCACGCCACAGCCAGGGCTGGGCCACTCCAGAGCCAGGGCTGGGCCACGCCACAGCCAGGAGCTTCATCTGGGTCTCCCATGTGCATATAAGTTAAGCCAAGTACTTAGGCCATCATCTGCTTTTCCAGATATATAGAGTCAGTTTATAGCAAAGATCTATATATGAATACCATTAATATTTTGCATGTTTTCCAGTTTTCTTTCTAAGCATGGTTAAAACAAGGTAAAACTGAAGATAGAATTGATACTGCTTTATGCTTTTTCCTGTTTAGATTTAATGTATTATCACATGTGCTGAAATTATTTTTATGTTATTTACTGGAAGTGGAGCAACCTGGAGCCCATATAAGATGCCAGCAGTAAAGGCGGTGTCTTTAGCTAAGCTATAGTGCTATTCCAGAATCAATTTTTACTACACTTGATCTTAGCCAAAAGGCCGAGAAGCGATAAGATATTTCTTTATCCTTTGTTTCTACTTAGATTTAATGCGTCATTATATATACTGAAGTGTTTTTTCTCTGTCATTTATTGCTAGCTTAGTACCTAGCTAGACATTATGTTAAGCCAGGGAGTCTGTTTGTTCTGGGGACTCCTGTGGTTAAAATGGTTTTCTACTACAAATCAAGACACGATTTTTAAAAATTGTTTATTCTTTAGTTGTGTGCAGGTTTCCCAGGGGCGGCACATCATGAATAACTCGCTTTCTCTGGGGATTTGAGAGTGCATGCTTTTGTATTCTCATACTTAAAAAATGCCAGTTTTAATTTAATATGACATATACAGATGTGTGCAAGTGATGTGTAAATAAAAGCTGTGGATGTTTTCAGTTTTTTTAAGAATGAAAGATCTTGAGATCTAAAAGAGTTAAATGATGGAATTGAGCCATTCATCTCCTTGTGTTCCGGCATAATTTGGAGGCTCTCATTCAGCCAGCATTGACTTGGTTTTCTGTAATGTTTGTTACAAGAAAGAGTCTGAGTCTGACGTGGTAAAGCTAAAGTTCCAGTCCAAGCTTGTCCAAAGCCTCTTCTGTGAGCTTTGCTCTTAGCTAGTTTCTGATGGTTAGGTGTGCAAGATGGTCCCCATTTTCACTGTTGCGTTCTTGTGATCATTTCTGATACCAGTTTTGCGCAACATATAGTAAATTATGTCCTAGCAATCTATTTAGTGTATCAGATGGGAATAGTACTTTCCAGACTTTTATATGTATGAACCATATTTTAATTTTGAGGATTTAAAATTTAGCATTTAATGTTTCTCTTCTGATGAACTGATAGTCATGAAATTATGACAGATGTTAATTCATATTTTCCAGTAATGAGTCCTTCCTAAAAGTTCAGTCAGTCTGTATTTATCTCTGTTTCTGAATGATACTTGTAAGGACTAAAATGCTTACCACATTATTTCAAATACAGTGATATAGCCTTCACTTTTCAGTATATTGTAGAGACCAGATGTGCTTACAGTGTTGTATGACTGTAGTCACAGGTGTGTGCTCTTGGTGGTATCTTGAGAAAGTGGGAAAGGTAGAGATGGAAAATACATCACCTGTAAGCTATTGCTTCTTCTGGTGACTTCCTCAGAATGTCAGTCAGTTTAAGAAAAGGCATTTTATTAAGGACATTAATTTTGCAATCTTCAGTTTTATGGCTACTTTAATGTCCTTTGACTTTGGGAATTTTACACTTTTATTGTGCACAATAGTTTTAGAAAATCTCAAATTGAAAATGAGATTTAGGTTAAAATGTGTTTTTTGCACCAGACTCTGAAACACGAGTTGATCTGAAGTTCAGGTACCCCGATGCTCCGCGAGACCACCACACCTTGGAGATCCAGCAGCAAGCCCTGCTTCGGGAGCAGCAGAAGAGGCTGAACAGAATCAGAATGCAGGAGTGTGCTGACGGTGAGCCATGGTCCATTACTGTTTCCGATGCTATTGGTGGGTTGTTCTTTTGTTAACTTTCCTTTGTATTAATCTCAATCCCAGAGAGCACCCTCCCTCCTCTCAGCCGCAGCTCCATGCTCACGTGGCTCTTCTGGCCTACAGTCCCAGGAACAAATCCCAGAGCAGGCTGTGATCGGCCCAGCTGGGGTTTTGTACTGCATAGCCAAGTAGAGTTAATACTTTGAACAGGCCAGGTGACAACTGCATCACGAAGCAGGAATCAAACGAAGAAATTCTGGTCAAACATTAGTGCTCTGTTTGGAATTTTGCTATTGTGTGGTGGTGTGTTTAAGTTTTGATATGATATAATCTGTCATTAGATAGAGCAATGATTACACCAGGTGTAATCAATCAGCAAAGTGCTTATTAAGTATCCACTGAGTGCACTGAGGAATTAAGTGTGGTTATGGTTGGAGAAACCATTATCTGAAATGCTTGGGAACAGAAGTGTTTCAGATTTTGGAATATTTCTGTAAATTTTCTTGGCTGAGCAGCCTTAACCCAAAATATACGCTTTTTGAGCACCAGAGAGTCTTGGAGTTGGGAGGATCACCGAGTACTGACTTGGTTCTGAATGAGTAACTTACTGCTGTCAAGGAGGAATTAGGATTTTAGAGCGAGCAGGTGTGATGAGTGTTTTAAATGAGTAATTCTAGGGCCCTTTAGAAGTGTGACTGTGGCTGGATGGGCACCCGGAGGCAGAATGGAGCCCGGGGTCAGAGCCTCATTGATGAACTTCAGTTACTCAGGTTCACCGTACGGCCTTCCCCTCTCATCAGCTTGGCTAACCTCCAGGCCTTGATGTGGCCTTGGCAAGATGGGTAATTAAAGCACAAGTAGTGGATACCAAGAAAACAGGAGAGTTATTCCTGTCAGATTTTTTTTGAGGAATATTTAAGATTCTGCCTGGCTAAGCTGGTGTGGCTTGCAGAATCTGAGGAAAGTTTGTACCACTAGAGTAAGTTGATGTAATACACTGATTCAGCTCACAAATCAAGTGTTTGGTTAACATTTATGTAAGGAATATCTTCCCTCTAACTGGTACTGCATTCATAATAATAGCTTCATATCTACCCTGTGACAGCAAAATGACGCAATCCATGATAAATAATAGGCATATAATCTGCAAATGAGAAGCAGGTACATTCAACACTTAGATCCAGTGAGGTGGCATTTTCTTCAGACGTCTGAAATGATGAGAAGATCTGTGGGAACCTGGTAGTTTAGGCTAACGTAGTCCCCAGGTAGATACAGATGTGTCTTACCATGACAGTACCTGCCTCCTCTAGCAGTTACATGCAAATTTCAGTGAGAATGCTGATGGACTTCTCGGAGCATATGATCCTATTGTAAACAGTTACAAACTTGCCTGGACAGGGTGCGTTATTCAGAGGGACATATAGGAAAACCGTCACATTGGAGAAGCTTGGGATACTTGATCCAGAATCTTGGCTTCTGAAATCCTATGGGTGTCTAGAATTTCATTTCCTTTATTTCTGTGTGAGCGAGCCCTGTGTTTTAATTCCATTCAGTTTTCTGTACAGAATGTAGAAATATGATTGAAGATGGAAAAATATCTAATATCAATTTTTTTTCTGTAGGGATCGGTTTTATGTTTACAGTGATTTCATTTGTTATATTCACTAATGTGAGAATGTTATCTAGAATGTATAAAGGGCTGTATGACTTAATTTATAAGCATTATCTTAGAATTATTCTGAGGTGTGGCATTTTATCATAAAAATGTGCTCAGGCTTATTAATAAGAATCTTATCATTTGTTGTTGTTCTTGTTGATTGCAGCTGACTTAGATGCCAAAGGGAGAGAACACAGGATGGTAAGCAACGTTAGACTTTTTCAAGTTAGTTTTGGGAGAAAAAAATTTTCAGGAATGTGGTAAGTTTGTATTCCCAAATTTTGAATTTTTCAGGAATGTTAAGAAAAAATTTAACTCTTGCCTCGTTAGTACAATGGATAGCTAGAGAAGTATTGACATATGCACGTAGAAAAAACCTTTCAATGACAAAGAAAAAGATATTAGTGACGGGCTAAATTGTTTCTCATCTTTAGCTGTGTGACCTAAAGTTATTTAAGCTCTTTATGCCTCAGCTTCCTAATCTGTAAAATGAATAGTATTAATATCTGAGGGTGGATGTGGGGAATAAATTAGCATTTGTAGGACACTTAGAGACAAGACTGGCATGCAGAAAGTTCTGGATAAATGAGTACTAGATAAAGATAGCTCAAGGGTTGTCATGAGGACTAAGATAATATATTAAAAAGCCCTTTATGACAAGTCCAGTATGCTTACTGTCAATATGTAACAGCAGCGCAAGGGAACCTCTCATGTAAGTAGTGGTGAAATCTATAAAGAAAATAAATACGGTCAGGGGATAGAGAATGGTAGCTCTTAATCCTAGGGAGTAGCACTACTGCAAGACTGAGTTAGGAGTGAGTGAACTGAAGCTGTGTCAGGGTATGAAAATGGGGAGAACACCCCTGCCCTTGGAAGGCTTTCCTTCTGGCAGGAGGAAGGGATAATAAATCTGGTATGTGAAGTCATTGTGCTCCGAAGGAAATGAACAGAGAAAGGAAACTGGAGGCTTTTGGGGTGGAGGGTTTGCAGTTTGAAGTATAACAGGCATGGCAGTTCCACCTAATTAGTAGCATTTTGATAGGCATATAGTGAAGTGGCCATGAGACAATGGGAGAGCATCTAGTAACAACTTTTCTAGTACAAGTCCTAATGGGAGAAGGCCTGGGGTGTGGTAGGAGCCTCGAGGAGGCCAGTGGAAGGGGGTGTGGCAGCAGAGCAGGCCCGGAGAGGCTGTCCAGGGCGCTCTGCCACACTGTGCATTTGGGGAGAGGATTCTGAAGTCTTGCAGTGGAGGACTGGCACATCTGTTTCATGTTTTCACTGGGTCAGTGTTGTGCATGAGGAGAAAGGGTGGCTGATCACATGAGATTGTGCTCAGAAGTGTTGGATCTGACTGGCGAGCACTTCCTGGGATTTCAGGGGTTTCACAGACGATGTAAGAGGAGGCAGATGGACTGACTTTTTGTCTGGGAACTGAGAGTTGCAGAGCTAGAGAAACAGGAGAAACAAATTTAGAGGTCAAGGTGAAGACTGAACATTTTGAAGCTCTGAGGAGCCTGTTAGACAAATAGAGTTGGTGAATACACAGGAGAGCTCAGGGGGAAAGGATGATGGCTGGGAATGCAGACTTAATCTTTGTAACCCTTGTTACACGTCCTGTTATCTCCACTTTGAGATTATAGAGTAAAACTCAGCTAGATTTCTTTTTTTTTTTGTTTTAAACATTCATTAGTTTTATTGGAGAGGCAGATTTACAGAGAGAAGAGAGACACGGAGAAAGATCCACTGATTCCACTGGTTCACTCCACAAAGGCTGTAACTGCTGGAGCTGAGCTAGTCTGCAGCCAGGAGATTCTTCCAGGTCTTCCACGTGGCTTGCAGGAGTCCAAGGATTTGGGCCATCTTCCGTTGCTTTAAGCAGCTCCCATAGGAAGGAGCTGGATGGGGAAGTGGACAGCCAGCACACCAACCATGCCCATAGGATGTGCCAGCCCTTGAGGGTGGAGGATTATCCATCCCATCAGCCTGGCTCTTATTTGCCCATTTTACTAGTTAACTTAAACCAGAACCTGCAGCTTTACTAATTGTGATGCCAATGACATGAGGATTAGCTAGCATTTATTGACTATGGTTTATCTGTGTGAGGTATTTGATATTTATTTGCTGTAAATCCCACGAAGTATGGGATTTGTATGTGGTTGTTTCTTTGTATGTGGTTGTCATGTTTTTCAGTTAAAAGAGACACTTCACACCAGGGATTTAGGTTAAAATCCTAAACAACAGCTTTTTCTGAATAGTAGCTGGGCATATGCTCATAATTCTTCATGGTGGCTACATGAAAGCTTAGATTGATCTTAGAAATCGAAACATGCAGAAAACATGGGATGCAACTTGCTGTGATTGTCAGGAAGATAAGGCTTGGGTGAACTGACTCTGATGCCTTGCTTTAGTTCTGTCAAGGGCCGTGCTGCAGAAATATGGACAGTGAGTGACCAATTAAGCACAGCTGATTCAGACTGCGATTGAGCTGCTGTCGTCACCATTATTAGTAAGCCAGAAAGCAATAGAATCAATGAGTGGCATGTTAAGATGTTTAAATTCAGTATATATAAAAAAAGATCTCAGTGTAAGAAAACTGTGATGGATTGGCACTGTGGCATAGTAGTCTAAGCCTCTGCCTGTAATGTTGGCATCCCATACGGGCACTGGTTGGCTGTCCACTTCTCATCCAGCTTCCTGCTTATGGCCCAGGGAAGCAGCAGAGGATGGCTTAAGTATTTGTGTCCCTGCACCCGTGTGGGAGACCCAGAGGAAGCTCCTGGCTTTGGATCAGCTTAGCTAAGGCCATTGGGACCATTGGGGGAGTAAACCTGCAGATGGAGGACCTCTGTCCTTTTGTCTACAATTTGGCCTTTCAAGTAAAAATATAGCTAGTAATTTAAAAAAGCAAAACTGTGATAATGAAAGGCAGTGTGAGTGCAGTTGCCTTCCAAATCGACCGGAGTGTCGTAGCAAGGCCCAGCGATCTGCTGAGGTGGTTGAGGAAGACGTCACTGGGCGCCCGTAGGCTCCTTCTGCCAAGCAAGGTGATACTTTCTACTGAAAAATTCTCTACATACAAATTTAAAGTAACAAATACAGTGCTAGTATTCCCCTACTGTGTGCCCCGCTGTGTCAGTGCTATGTCATTAGAAACTATATTGTCTTAGAGATTATAGTTTATATTATATAATTATTATTGTACAGTTACAGTTTCTCCATTTGAGAACAGACTGTCTTAGTTCTTCTTTCTAGCCACAGTTTCTCCCTTGGGAGCAGTAAGTGTGCCATATAGATTACCAGAAAGAGTGAACAAGTCTTGGCAATGATTGAAAAGATTGCTAAAGCTTAATTGGGATCATTGTTTCATATTACCCCGGGTGTTCATCAGCAGCAGTGTCAGTAACCTTTTCCACAAGGAGTGGAGGGAGGCAAGAAGGCAGTGTGGTGGCTTGCAGGGTCAGAGGTCTTGCTCCTGCAGTTGCGACGCAGCGTCTGCGCGGAGCCTTCTTGGTGTCCTGGGTGCTGGCAGAGGTCAGCGCTGCAGCGCACTCTGTCCTCGCGCTTTCCGTGTGACTGATGTGGAAAGTAGTGACGCCTTTTAGTAGTAATTGTTTTTCTACACAGGATTAATAAAAATAGGTAATAATAATACATGATGTTTTTTTTAGCCCAGAGATGTCAATAATGATTTGAAAAATTCGTTGTTGGAATCTGATAGTGCCTTTATAGGTGAGTATATTTTACTTTACTGATGCTGTATGCTAATTAAATACAAACTACTACTTTTAAGTGCCTTCCCATTTTATTCAGTATATTCAGCATTATACTGAAAGTGGTTACAAAGAGAGAATGTGCTTTTTTGCCATTTTAATGAACACTCATTAAATGTAGCTTACAAAGTTTTAAAATCACAGTTACTAATGTGAACTTTAAAAATCACAAAAATAGCTTCTGTAAAGGCCTGTGCTTATATATGGATGTACATAACAACATTTGTCCTTGGACACAGCGTGGGTTAGACAAACTCTGCTATAGCCTTAACATGAAGACGCTACACAGCAATCACAGGAACAAACCCGAAGCACACAGTAATTCTTCAGGGAAACATTTCTGAGCAAAAAAGCCAGCACCCATAAGTTACACACTGTAGCATTCTATTATGGAACACGTGTGAAATGACAGTAAGTTAGAGAAGGAAATTTGTCCTGCAGGAATATTTAAGGCAGCGTTACTTATACCAAAAGTTGGGTACAAACGGATGGAAACATTTGGTACCTCTAGAATATTTTAATACACCACTTTCAAAAAGAAAAGACAACATGCTATATAGTTCCATGTGTATGCTGTTCTAGAGAAGGCACACATGGAGAGAGTAACGTTTAGTAGTTGCCAGGAGTTAGGTCTAAGGAAAGATAGGAAGATGTGGCTGGGTCCATGTGGGGCAGCGGCCAGATGCCACGGAGTGTGTGTCACAAAAGGTTACTCTAATGTGAACTTACGCTGGGCAAGCGTCTCTGTAGGTTTACTGATTAGCACAGATGTTCTGTTCTGGTCGCTGGGGTTAGTAATGGGAGAGACAGAATTTCCTGGGTACTTGCTCACTACAGAATTTTTCTGGGAATGGAAATCTCTAGGTTAAGAAAAGATACATGAAATAACATTAGTGGTGATATAGAGACATTGGAAACATTGGGATCTGAGAGCCCCGTCATTTAAGAAATGGACATTTTTTTAAAGCTTATCCAGTATAAACTTGGAAAATTTATCAATTTTAAGTAAATGACCGTATTAAATCTGTGTTAAACCTTCTGCAAATTTCCTTAATCTAATCTGACTGACTGCTGTGTAGGACTTAGTTCTAGTTCTTAGAAGATGCTTGCTGGACTATTTCTGCACAAAGTGTCTCTGGTACTGGCTTAGCAGTGTGGCTCAGCAGAAATAGAACGTTCACCAAAACACGCACTGACAAAATTGGCAAAATATCAAGTGATGTTGATATTTGTTGTATTTGTTGTATCATTATCATAACTTTATCCAGACTTAATTTTTTTTCATAAGAAGGTAAAAAATCTTTTTTAAATGATGTAGACTGTTTATCTTCATGGTCAAATGGGTTGTTGGATCATTGGAATGGCTGTTGTCAAAAAGACTAACAAAACTCAATGTTGCTTACACTGTTGGGTAGCAGGAGCCATTTCAGATTATAAAATAATAGAAACACTTTTTAACTCAGTTGGGTAGTTAGAAAATGATGCACAGTCACCATAATATCCAGCAACATCACCCCTAGGTACATACTTCAAAGAAATGAAGACAGTCACAGACTTGTTCCTGAATATTTACACTAGCGTTATTCATAATCGCCAACAAGGAGCACATGTTTGCACTGACAATATATGATACATGCTTGGAATGGAATTAACTGTTGGCATGTGTACAGCATAGCATTAATGTGCATTCATCTAGGTCTAAGGAAAGATATTGCAGAAAACATAAATCTATTGAGACAAAGTGAAGGAGTGTTTGGGGCTGGGCACATGGACTGGGGAGTGATTGCCAACTAGCATGCATCTAAGTCTTGAACTCTGTGCGGCCCCTCAAGGTGCTTACGGCGAGACGTACCCGGCCATTGAGGATGACACTCTCTCTCCACCATCACGGCTGCCCTCGGCAAGGGAGCGCCGGAGGAACAAGCTCAAAGCACTGGACCTCGTATGTATGAACGTGGCTTCTCTCCCCTGGTCAGGCTCAGAAGGCTGAGGGTCTGGGTTCTGATCCCTGCTAAATTCCTGTGTCGTAATGAAGAGCGAGCCTCATCTTTGAAATGAGGTGGACACGGCTGTGACTGCAGCGGCCGCCACCAGTTAGCTGGCAGACCTGGGGTGGCTCCTGCTGTTGGCTTTGTCAAGGCGATATTGTTTCCTTCTCTCCTGGGTGCTGTCAGGAGCAGCTCCGTATTTGGCATAGAAATACCTGTGACATAAATATTAATTCCTGCCCCTCCTTCTCATCCTTGAGGAATGCATGGGTTTCAGGGAAGGCACAGAAAGCAAACAATACAGGCAGTAGCTATATTTTGGTCAAGTCACCCAGACTGAAAGTTACAGCTGTTTTCTTCCTTCATGTCACTAGAGTGTACCCAGTAGAACACAGCCCTGGAGCCCCTCAGTACATAGATGTGTCAGTGTCACCAGCCACTGTTCAAATAGGATGCTGGCCTAGCAGGTGCCAGGTTAACCCGCTACAGCATACCAGCCCCTGGCAACTTTTTAAAAAAAATCTGTTATTATTATAAAATCAGAAATACAGAGAGGAGGAGGAGACAGAGAGGAAGATCTTCTGTCCGATGGGTCACTCACCAAGCAGCTGCAATGGCCAGAGCTGAGCCGATCTGAAGCCAGGAGCCTGGAGCCTCTTCCGAGTCTCCCACATGAGTGCAGGGTCCCAAGACTTTGGGCTGTCCTCAACTGCTTTCCCAGGCCACAAGCAGGGAGCTGGTTTTAATTCTGGTGCCGCTGGGATTAGAACTGGTGCCCATATGGGATCCTGGTGTGTACAAAGTGAGGACTTGGGCCTCTAGGCTGCTACATTGAGCCCCCCTGGCAATTTCTTAAACTATGTGTTTCTTTATCTATGAAGATAGCTATTACCCAATAGTATACATGAAAATACTACTAGATAACACCTGCCAAGCATTTTCATTGTGTGTGCCAGGAGCATTCAACAGATAAAAGATGCTGGTGTTACTATTACTACAGGTACAGCTTTACCAGTGGCAGTAAGTTTATTGCCCTAGGCAACCACTAATTTACTTTAATCCATAATTTTGCCTTTTCTTGATATCTCTATACACTAGATCATGAGGAGGCCGTTTGTAACTGGCTCTCATCTTTCAAAGACCATCCATTCTGTAGCATTTTTGGTGCTTGATTTCTTCTGTTGCTGTTTTCCACTTTTGGTAAATCCATTCAACAGTTGATGGCAGTTGGGTTTTCAACTTTTACTAATTATGAGTAATGCTAATAGCAGTCATGTACGGCTTTTTGATTCTTCTGAGTACATATCTCAGAACAGAACTGCTGGGTTACAGTCATTTGGTCGGTCAGACTGTTTTACAATGCTGTCACACCCTTTTAGATTGCACCAACTGCTTACCTACATCTGTCGACTACATCCCAGCCAACACATTACTTTATATACCTCTATGTACGTGTGCAGTGCTTTTTCGATGGTTGCTTATCTTTTTTTTGGAGGATATATCTATTAAATCCTTTGTTCCTTTTGAATTTTTCCTTGTATTTTTAATTTTATGATAAAATTCTATAAGTTTTGAGTTTTCCCTTAATCCCTGCCTAGATTCTGCCCCCACCCAGCTGATTTCCCTATATTGTAACAGTATAGTCCTTAAGTCCATCACTGTGCTGTTTAAGTGCACCCTGACACCGAGGACACAGTGGCAGACAGTCCAGCATCCTATTGCTGAGATATCCAGCAGTCTCATTGGGAGTCCATCTGGGATTTGGAACTAGAGATGCATATTGCATTCTGTCTTCACATCTGGATATGATATTCTGTATTACACAGTAACTATACATTCCCTTAAATCAAAAGCCATAAAACAAAATCAACAACAGGAATACAGCTGAAAGATTTACAACACCATGGAGTTTAACCAATGTGTGGATGAAGAAATGAAAAAGAAAACAACTTTGAGAAAATGATACTACTGTGTGATCTATGAGTCAGTGAAGAATATTAGTTATTATATAAAAATCTATTAATGAACTATTTTGAAGAAATGAAAATAAAAATATCAAACCCATGAGTTGCAGCAAAAATAGTTATTGAAAGGACTGTTGATCTTGTAATTTGCATGAAGGCAGCCTTATATCAGAGAACATGATATTCGTGCTTTTGGTATTTGCATATTTAACTGAGCATAATGATCTGTGGTTGTGACTATTTGCAAATGGCAGAATTTTCTAAATAATATTCCATGGTGTAGATGTACCACAGCATCTTTATTTTTTTTTAGCTGGGCATCTGGGTTGTTTCCATGTCTTTGCTATTGCAGATTGTGCTGCTATAAATATAGGCTTACAGATGCCTTTCTCATTTGCAGGTTTCGTTTTCTTTGGATATATTGGGGAGGGATAGCAGAACCGGTTACATTAAGAGCAAGTCCCATTTTAGATGTGCAATTTGCAAATATGTTCTCTCATTTTGCAGGCTGTTGTTGAAGTTATTGCTTAATCCGCCCAAATAATTTAAAGATTGACTTTGGTGTTTACTTTTATAGCCTTTTATTTGTAAATTTGGGTTTATCAGATACTTTTCCAGCCTTATCCAGTCTTGCAGCATTTAAATGTCAAAATCATTTCAGCATGCAATGATTAACATAGGAGTTATGAGTATAATTGTTTTATTATGTTCATCACAATGAACATATATTGAGGGTAAAAACAAATTTTGATTCACTCTGAACATAACTGAGTTAAAGCGTGTCTGATATTGTTTTCCAGCTACAGGATAACAGTCATTTCAATGTACTACCCGACGATGTCTCTTTAAAATCTGTCTCCAGCGTAAATATTGATCAGCTCAGAATGAGAAATGAGGAACGCATGCGAAGACTGAATGGACAAGATAAACCTATTAATGCAGGTAAATGGCCAACTTGAATGTCCTGTAGTAAATCCACCTAAGAACTCAAACCTGCGTAACATGAACATTTTCCCTGCTGCCCCGGGGACAGAATGGGGTGAGCTGCGAAGCCACACTAGGGTTAGTTTTACATTAGAAGCTTATTGACAGGCAGCCACGGTACCCATTTTAGAGAGGAATAGATTTCCCTTCAGAAGCTGATCCAGGCTTTGCTCTCAGCAGGGAAATGCTGATTACGTAGTAACCACTCGCTGAAATGAGGTGATCAGAAATGATCTTCAGTGATTTCCAGGTGACTGTCAAAGAGAAATACTCTTTTTCGTTTTTTGAATAGTGTTTGACTTCTGCAGCAGCCTCAGACTAGCATCCTCTTTTTGGATGTTTAATGCATTCAGAGTGGCCTTCAGAGCCTGGCAGGTTAAAGCTTACCCCCAGCCCCCCAGCCAGGCCTGCGGCCTCCACAGCACCCCACAGAGTTCTGGGTCCGCTGCCTTCTAAAATCGGTGCCATTAGTCTGTAGGATGATAGAACGGTTGGTGTGGCCATCTCGTTTTAGCAAACGGGAAAGTGACCTGTCTGTACAGTACTCTCAGTAGGTTGTGCTACGTTACAATAATTTCCAGGAGACATTTTCTTAAGATCTTTAACATTGTTATATAATCTCTAGGATTGAAGTTTGATGGTAATGCCACACCAAAGACTAGCAGATGTAGTAAACTGAGGGCAGAGAACTTCATGAAGAGGATATCCTTGTGTCTAAAATGCATTTAAAAAATGTTTACTGAGGATTACTTGACTCTTTTAGAATAAACTGAACATTAGGGATGTATTTGGTAGAAGATAGAGTATTTTACGAATTACTCATTAAGGTTATTAGTGTCTAAAGTGTTTTTAACATTGTCCTTTCAAACAGGAGCTTTTGGGTGCCATGTGGATTGAGTCCTCATTAATTTGACATATCCTTTTGCTGGGCTAATCCTTCACAGACGAAGAGATGTATTTTTTTTTTAAAGGAAATTGACATCACAGGGTAGGAAGACAGATTTACCTTTCATACCTCATATTAAGTAAGAGGCAAGTACAGAAATACTTAAGAGTTGTTTAATATACTGAATATAGATAGTTTCCTTAGGTTTATTTAGTTTTAAGAATAGAAGTAATTTCATCCCAATTAGTGATTGTACAAAATTGTTTTAAATTTGTCAAGTGTTCTACGTTGGAAGTATTTTCTAAATTTGCTGAATTAGTTTTGTGTGCTAGTCATGTCTTATCTTAAAGGTGCCAGGTAACAAAATTAAGAAATTTGTAACTAGAATCTTCTGGAAGTCCGCTATAGCAGTCAATGACTTTTGTTTCACAAAATTAACCCCATCGTTGGCCTGTTTTCTTACCTTTAAAAACGGGTGGCTCTAAGCAAAACTGGACAGTTGAGAGCACAGTTCTTTGGGGGAGATAACTACAGAAGGCGCTGCAGTGGGTCGGGCTTCACAAGGCCTGGATTGTCCTGTGGTACCTGAACTGTGTCTCTTGCCTCCATTAGACGATGAGGAGAGTTCACTGCTTGATCCTGATGACATCATCAAACATGTGAGTGATGACGGGTCCAACTCTATAGCAACTGAACCCTGGCTCCGTCCTGGGACCTCAGAAACCTTGAAGCGCTTCATGGCAGACCACCTACACCCAGAGCAGCAGCAGGTTCCTGGAAAACCAGGTGCCTACACTTGGCAGGGTCTGTCCACCGCACATGGTTAAACCACGTCTGTACTGGATCCAGTAGTGCCTTGTATGAAGTGTTGAATCTGTGTACTGTACCTGGGAAGGATTTGCTTAGGTTCCATCTGTACATAAAAGTGCTTTGCCATGATGGTGTGTATGATGTATATTCTGTACATAAATAAAAGGCAATGATTTTTAATATAATAGAATTCTATAGAAGTACTTTTGCTGAATTTTGCCATTAATGAAGGGGCAGTAACTCTTGAATTCAGCTACCATATGTGCATTACTTAAACTGCTTGTCACTAAGACAAGGAGTAGAGAAGGTCTTTAATGGTTCTGTAAAACCAGAATTCTGTTGGCTGACTGGTACCTGTTCAAGGTGGTGCGTCTCACAGCTGCATTGTTGTAGCTTACTTACCCAGCTGCTGTGTAATGAGGGAATCAAATGTCCTTGTAGCTACTGATTCAGTAGGAATTATGGGAGATATTTTATTCCTGTGAGCCATGCACTGTTAAATTTTTGTCTGCATTTTATCTTTTGTGTCAATGAAAGACAGTTACTAATTTATATGATTTAACTTAACTCCTTGATGAATAAATTTCTATTTTTATTACCAATGTTAATTTATTCTAACTTGAAATGTCCACACTAAGTTTTTAAAGGTTGAAGAGAAGAAGTAACTCCTAGGGGTTTCCCTAATCAGTAAGTGGTTCTCCTTCGAAAGCAAAAACTCTGAAAAATAATTTTTACTAGGATTTCAGCTGCTTTGTTTCCTCTGACATAATGACTTAATATCAGACAGGGTTGCCACAACTGTGAAATTTGTTTAATAATGTAACCATTACTTTACTATTAAAAGTTTTTCTTCTGTCTCCTCTAGGGAGAGTCCTGATCCTACAACAGTAAGTATTAATCTATTAGGAGGTGGGAAGCACTTACCAAGACAAAGCCGAAGGTTACAGTGGCTCCTGGCCACCGAGGTGGGTGCCTCTCGGCTGCAGCAGGAGCAGAGCTCTGTCCTAGGGCTGCTAAGCACGGCTTAGAGGCTTAGAACTGTTCAGTGTCCGAGATAGGTGTGACTCCTCAAGCCTGAACTAATTTGAGAAACACAGTATCAACCATGCAGACCACCCTACCCAGAAGGGAACTTTAATTTTGTTTTAGCTTTCAAATACTGTTGGTTTACTTTGCATTCATAAACATGTAAAATACTCAAATTATAAATGTGATTGGGCCAAGAAAGTTGGGTGTGCAGCATGCTCCAGTGCCAGAAGCTGGAGGAAGGGGAAAGCATATTGAGGGTGCAGTTCTGGACAAAAATATCCTTACCGTAATTGTTTGGTTTGCAACGCATCAACGAGGAAAGAAAGTCAGTGAAACATGGGGTTGCGGGTTATCCAGTTTTGATTGCACTGATGAAATAATTCAAAAACTTTATTGACCTATAACCTGATTAGAATATGCCAGATGAGAATCAATATTGTACAGAAAGTTGTACAGAATTTTTTACATAGAAAACTTTACATCTGTACCATATACATTTTATCCATCTGAAAAAATTTTCTACATCCACTGTTAATACGGAATGCTTGACAATCTTGTCCTTAACCATCAGAGCACAATTCACAGTATGAATACATTTCCAGTAAATCTAACTTCCTCAAACCATGCCAGATTTATTTTAATATATTCAACATTAAATTCTGTACAGAATAAAATCTACAGCAAGCCCAGCCAGTCACCCTAAAGAAAACAAACCAACCAGCAATCTAGACTCATTCTGCAGTGATTCAAGTTTCAGTCCACGAAGGATCATTTATTTCAATGGCTCATCTTGAAAAGCTCTAACAGAATTCTATTACAGGCAGTCACTGTCAGGAGGGAGATTTTCTACATGGTTTTGTTTTCCTTTCTTGATCTTGACAAGTTAGCAACCCCAGCTTCCGGGTTTGTTAAACCCTCAAAATTACCAACCCCTCAAGAAAGGCAAAACCAAAAATCCCACAAAATATAAAAGACAGTTCAACCAAAACGTTTAGTGCATCTGACAAAATGAGGGGTATTTAGCAGGTGGGTAGGAAAATAAAAGAAACCAGTGCAGGAGGAAGTCTATACTGCTTACGATTTTATATTACAGACCTGCATCTCTGTACATTTTTCACAGGAGGATGATTACCAATCTCAGGCAGCCTGAGTGTGCAAAAATCAGAATACCATAGTTGTTAAATATTTTTTAACCATTAACAATAATTTCTTTTTCCCTGACCCCCTCATTTAGAAACATTTTATCCTTCAAAATACAGCTCTCCTGAGTTGTACTTCTGGTAGAAGTTCTGTCTTTACATCTCTATCTAGTCTTTGGGTAAGTTTCACTTTGCACAACCTGCCAGAACCGTGTGGGATAGGGACGGGCTGGTGAGCAGACAGCTTCCCACTCAACGTGAACCCAACACACAGACTCCATCCCATTTTTACTAGGGACTGGAGCGTCTGCAGTTAGAGCCACAGTTCTATGCATGTTGACCAGTAACCCTCAGCCACTGCAGTTCAGCAGGAAACCTCAGCTCCTCAAGCGCAGAGGGACGTGAACACCAGCAAAAGGTTGTTCCCATCATTGCTTGTTTATTCCAAGTTCCTGTTCTTGTGGTTGTGATATCTGAAAAACTACTCCAATTCGCAGAAAAAATCTTCTAAGAACAGCACGAAGTTCAGGAATCAAGTCAAATTGCATAATTTCACATAGCAGAGGGTAGTAGAATGATGCGTGAGCTTTAAACTGGGGGGGAAATGCATTTGTCCATTAGTTACGCTTACACTGCCAACTGCAAAGCCTAAAACCTAAGACAGGGAAGGCAGAGTCTGCCCCAGGTAGTGATGTATTCAGGAGTCACCTAGCTAAGGATCTCTTAGAAATAGAGGTGCCTCAAGCAGTATGCAGGAGGGATGGGTGCTCGGTCAAACTGGGTAACCCCTGTGCCCTGTGTCACAGTACCTGCTGATTTGGGAGGTGGCTCAGGGTCATGACTTCAGAGCCCTGGAGGGCAGCAGTGGATGGAGTCTGCAACTTGTACCATTGGCCTAGGCCACTGTGGACATTTGAGGTAAGAACAATGGTACTCTTTCAGAAGTTTATCACAGAAATTGTTTGAAACCTATGTCATTTTTCCAATATGTGTATTTTCCATGTACAAGATATCAAAATCACTTCTATGCATGGGTTTCAAAAATTTTGCATCAAAATTCTTTTACTGTATTTTAAAGGCAGAAGGTGACACAGGAGTTCACACTGGCAGAGGAGCAGTGTGAGGGGAGAAATCCTTTTAATGGCAATGCCTGAATTACTGAAATGGTATCCTTTGTTCTATGTGACGTACATGAACCTTGTCCAGGCAGAGCTGTGCACATTCCCTACCCACAGCTCAGTGCTGCCTTATCCCCTCAGTCTGAGCCTGCCCTTTCCTGCTCTGCACGCCCCCAGGAAGCACCACGACAGCCCGAGGCAGGACAGCCAGCTGTGATTTCACGGGCCTAGGCCCTGGACTCCTGCACACTCTGTGTGTGGCTGCTCGTGGCTTTAAGTTACTTCTCTAGGTTACCTGCTGCATTGGTGAGATTGCAGTGCATCCGGGCACAGGGCAGGTGAGCCACAGTGACACTGTACAGCACCCAGCTGCACTGCCCCACCTCCACAGGCTGCCCTGTGCTACTAGGTCACCTGACTTGGCATTCTGAAACCTGTTCCCAAGGGTCACACACGCACATTGCCACAAGATGACAGCAGCCTGGATCCTAGGCCTAGGAGTGACTATGTGCAGCCTCCAGCTGAAAATGGGACAGAAGGGAGACTTCAACACTGGGGGAGCTCGGGGCTTTCTCGGGGTGCCTAAAGGATCCTCACTGCTCCTCCTGAGGGCAACTGAAGTAGCTAAGGGTCCTGAAGAAGCAGCAGTGCAGGCTGGGCATGAGAAAGAAACAAGGCTGGCTGTGAAGGAGCGCACTTACCCTGTTGTCGCTTATCTTTAGAACCTTCGTTAGAAACAAAAGCAGTAAGTTGGTCCAGGCTTCCCGGTGGCTTTCTGATGTTAGCGTGAGGAAGTAACTGAGGGCTTCACTGCAGACACTGCAAAAGAGAAGGTTTACTGTGATGTCCCCGCAACCTGGGTGTCTGCGTTCGCTGAGCAAGACCAAGGCAGTGGCCACCAACTACTGAGGAGCCTGCGGGGTGCTGAAGTAGAGCTGCTGCTGCTCCACAGGTTTCTGGATTGGGGCCCAGCTGTTCCACTTCCATCCAGCTCCCTGCTGGTGGCGGGGAAGGCAGAGGAAGATGGCCTAAGTGTTTGGACTCCTGTCCCCCATATGTGAGTTGAGGAAACTTCCAGTTCTGACCATTTATCTTTCACATAATTTTTTTAAAGCTTGCCAGATTTCATTATTTACTAGAGTATCCATATGTTTTAAAATTAGGAAAACCCAACAGTTTAAAAACCTGTTACAATGTTTTGAGAAAGCCACTGGGAGGACGCACAGGTGCAAGTGTGTTGAGATCTGGGCTGAACTTGGTGCAGCTTTTTAATGTGGATGAGGCTTTAACAATAGTAAAATAAAGGGACCAGGTGATCTCTTTCTGAAGTCCACTTAACTGACTGGAGAACATGTATTCCCCAACTGGACACAATGCAGGTGAAAGTATTCTTCCTAAATGTCATGTTTCACTCCTAGCTTTTTAAATTTCAGCTGTCATAAAATAAAGCAATGAAAACATCAACTGAAACTCCCAAATACTCTTCTTCCTTCTAAATGCAGGGAGGCAAGTTTTCACATTCACAAAACATTGCTCTACAATGTAGCTGTTTCATAAGATGAGAAAGGACTAACCTATATCATAGGTTAAAGTTTTTAAAATTTAAGGGAGAAAACCTTTTGTCAACCTGTAGGCATGCCAGCAGTTGTTCAAAGCATGTCTGCTTACTGAGGCCCAGCATTGTGGCACAGCGAGTTAAGTTGCTACCACGGGCATCAGCATCCCATATAGGTCCTGGCACCTCTACTTCTGAACTCCCCACTAACGCACCTGGGAAAACAGCATAAGAGAGCCCACCTGTTCAGGTCCTTCACCCATGTGGCAGACCTGGTCTTTGGCCTGGCTATTACAACCATTTGGAGAGTTGCCAGTAGCTGGATGATTGATCGCTTTCTCAATCTATTTCAACTAAATCTTTGAAATAATACAGACCATTTACTATGCTTCACAGTCATCCTGTAAGCACGAGGCTCCTGGCCCCAATGGCTCAGCTATCTGCTTGTTGTCAGCACCCCTTTCTGGCTCTGCCCCATGTTGCCACAGGCAGAAATCGGTGGAGGGTCTTACTTCAGAAGCCTCTGCTGGACCTCCTCCCAGGCACTGACCCGGTTCTCATCCATGTACATCCGGAAGAGAATGCGCAGCCCACAGGCAAGGCTGCTTGTTTCCTGCTTCAGAAGGTTGGGCTTGGATTTACCTTTGAAACCTGCAGAAAGGGAAGTTCCTGGAATTAGTCTGGAAAGCAGCCTACATACAGCAGCCTATGTGTGGGGATCGGAACGAGGCTGCCAGCAGTGCCAGCATTCCACATGGGTGCAGCTTTGAGTCCCAGCTCTTCCAGTTCTGATCAGCTCCCTGTAGGTACACGTGTGAAAGCAGCAGAGGCTGGTTCCAGTGCTGGGGCCCCTGTACCTCCTTGAGAGACTGGGAGGAGGCTCCTGGCTTTGGGCTTCAGAATGGTCCAGCTCCAGCCACTGCAGCCACTTGGGGAGTGGACCTGCGGATGGAACATCTCTCCCTGCCCCCCTTCACTGGAGCTCTTTCTTCCTTTAAAATAAATGAATAAATCTTGAAAAAGCAGCCTGTGTGGTGGCACAGAGCTGAATGAGCCCCAGAGCAGCCTGGGCTTGGCCCACACAGACATGCTGCTCAGCAGGAAGCCACAGCACAGTTGAGGCCTGGCAAGACGGTGACTTCTACATGTAGGATTTTTTTCCCTCAAAATTGGGAACAGAAGATAGGAAATACTTGTACTACACATCCTGGATGAGGTGGGAGCACAATGCCAGGCCCGGGAAGACTGCATCAATCACTGGAAGGATGCAGGGTCCAGCAAATGCAGAAACCAGGCCTCTGCTCGCCTCAGCACCAATACTTCCTGTGGAATGATGGCAGCAACCGGGGTTGGAGAGGAAAGACAAAAGTACAGACTGCTCTTTCTACAAGGTTCAGTTTCAACTGCAAGAATATGAATAAACAAAGAGCCTAGCACTCTATTTGGGGTTGATGTGTATTAACAGAAAGGCCCAGGCTGGATTAACAAAATGAAAGAATTGTCACAAGGCAGAAACAAATCACCCAGGTAGTTTATCTGGCTTATTG